ACCAAACGAGTCTTTGAACAAACAAAACTACCAAACGAGTCTTTGAACAAACAAAACTAACAAATAATTTAAAGACAAAAAAATAAAAAGCAAACTAAATGTTAATTTCTTTTTCCTTCGATTCACTTGGCAGTCTGCATCACTATCACTCCATAGTTCCAAACGACTCAAACTAACATGTAGAAATTTGTAACAGTGAGTATTCGAAAACATTCAGTAAGATACGTGTAGTTTCTGTACACAATTATATAATAAATAAAATCTACACTTCATACCACTCTGCTCTTATGGAGTATATCGGTGACCAAGCGACACAACCATATTAAGTCCTCCTATAATCCCGTAGAATTTCATCTTTTTTTTAAAAAAAAAAATCCAAATGTTCACTGGCAATCCATGCATATTTAGCCCTTGTTTGATCCCCATTTTTTCAAGAATGCATTTTTTTAAAACTCATTTTCAATCACATATTCTTATATAAAATAATTATACACGTATTTCGAAAATTTTTCTTTACTTTTTAATCATACATTCTTCAAAAAATTACTATTTCATAATGCATTTTTATCCCAAAAATGGGAACCAAACATGGGCTTAATATACAATACAACGAGGCCATTGTAACCTGGGGATGATAAAATGATGTGGTCCCGCCTTGCTTCGGAATACGGGTGGGGACAAGGAACATGGGTCCCGTCATGGAACTTGTCTCGACTATTATTATTTTTTATTTTATTATTTTTGCATATGTTTTACAATTTAACTAACATTTCGAAAAAAATAAATATAAATTAAATAATGAAAAGGGAAACCAAGCCCCTGTTCGAGCCCAGTATAATGGATTGAGCCAATATTTTTTGCTGTCACTATGGGCTCGCATTAATTGATGGTGCAGGTAACTTGTAACAAGTAATTGTTTCACTTGATTTTTGAAGTACTAATAACAGGTCTATAATTTGACATTTCCATCCTACCCTCAAGTACATCAATGATAGAAAATAATGTACAACCATGAGTGCATAGGTATTTTTGGGAACAGAATTATGAAAGTGAGGGTGTAATGGACCTTTAATTTTAAATGGGATCTGTCAAAAATCTCTCATCTGAGAAATGTATTGTGCCATCAGAAATTTTTAATGCCCAAGTTACTGTTGAAAAGTGTGAATTCTCATTTTAAAAGATTCTAACCGGTGCTAAATGGGGATATTTTAATTTCACTCCATGCCACCTCCTAGAAATCCCTGGTGGGGTGGGAATGGAGAGCTCCACCCCCACCTTATTGGCATCCCTATTGTAATCGACTAACAATTCTATGAGAAAAATCAAGTGCAATTGCTATAACGAAGGAGAATTTTCTCTTTTAGGAGAGGTTGATCTAAAAGTGTAAATAGGGATGTCAACGAGTCGAATCGAGCCGAGCTGACTCACGAGTTGAAATTTTAGGCTCAGGCTCGGTTCGAGTAAAATAATCGAGCCTTTTAGCTCGACCAAAAAAATTAGGTTCGACCCGAACTTTCGACTCTAACCTTTTGAAGCCAAGCAGGCTCGATGTTTTGGTATTTTTTTTTTTTACATTTTTTTTTAATATAAAGAAGGCAGCTGGTTGCTGCCATGTTGCCTTTAAAATATATATATATATTTTTTGTATATATTTTTTTAAATAGGCTCTTGTGAGCTCGAGCTGGCAAGCTACACGGACCGGCTCGAGCTTTGCTCGGCACCCCAAAATGAGGCTCGACTCGAACCTTAGCTCGATTCTTCCAAGCCTCGAGCCATTAGAGCTCGAACTTTTTTCGAGCCGAGCCAACAAGCCCGATTGTCGTCTCTAGGTGCAAATATATCTTGGATCGTTTGCCTGCGAGTGTCAACGAGCCAAGCCGAGCAAAAGCTCGACCGTAAAATTAAAGCTCTACTCAAGCTTTCAGCTCAAGACTTGTTGGGCCGAGCTAAGCTTTTTAGAATTTTTTTCCTTCTTCTTCTCTAAGCTGTCAGTTTGGCAGCTAAAATAGCTGTCAAACAGGCAGCAGTTTTTCTTTCTATTTTTTATTTTATTTTTACGTCTCAGTCAAGCAACACGTGCCGGCCGAGCCAACTCCCCGAAATAGGGCTCGGCCCGAGCCTTGAACTGGGTCGGGTCGGGCTTTTTTCGGGCCAAGTCACAGACGGCTTGAGCTAGCGAACCCGATTGCCATCCCTAGGCCTTAGGCCGGCCTTAGAGCGACCTGTCTGCAAGGTCCCATATATAGACTCGACAAAAAAGAGAAGCTGATACGAAAGGTTTAGTTTTGTGTTGGGTTATTCCAAGGCCGCCACATGCCAAGCCTAGTTGCAGGGCCAGGCCACGTTAATGAGCCGCACTAGATTATGATACTTTTTAGTTGTATCACGCTCCAAAAAAGGGGTCCTCAAAGCCGGGTCATGGCCAGCCAGGTTGGTATCAAGCCTGCTGATAATCATGAGCTCTATAAACTGGCATATACCAAATAGAAATACCGCAGCAGCCTGGTGCTTATTCCATACAGAAAAGTGTCAATGCATATGACTTATTCATCTTTAATTCTTCAATAATTAAGAATACAAAATCATATGAATAGTTTACCCAAATTTATCAGTTTAAGCAGCTGCTATAGAAAGATTTTTTTTCTCTTCTAGCTTGCTTGCATGTACAGTAAGCAGTTCATGTTGCACAACCTGTGACCAAATGCACAAGTTTTGCATAAGCAAATGAATCAGGAGCAGTTAAACAGTGAAAAAGAAACGTACCTCTATTAATTTGGATTCACTTGTGCAAATCAAGTAACTTGAAATTCTGGCTTTCTCCTGTTGTAAGCATTCCTCAACCTATATATTATAACAAGAAAGTACAATGAGCCACAATGAGCCTATATCCCAGGAGCCTTCCAATTCTTTTCTTCGTTTATTTTGATGAATATTCTGCCTAAAAAAAGAAGGAAGAACTAATAATTCATGACTGACCTTAAGCATGTAATTCTCGTAGGGCTTGTTTTCAATCCAGTTCAAGGCCTTTCGAAAATAGAACGTAGCTGTGGCTTTGATCATCGACTCTTTGAAATCTTCTTCGTTGTGTTCTTGCCCATCTCAACGTAAATATCCGGAACTGACTTCACCGTGGCCTGATCAATCTGTTCTCCCTCTCGTTCCCTATCAATCTAAGATGATAATTGCATGTTACTACATCTCGAAAAAGTGCTCATGGATTCACAAAAGAAAAGAGTAGCTTTCTTCAAATTTAGTAGGAATTAGGTTTAGAAATTATAGTACATGTCTGAGCCAGATCATCGTGACACGTATTTCTAAAGATTGGTAGAGGCAGACTAATAGTAAACATAGTTGAATCAGAAATATATGCACACAAAACAATATTGACAAGTTTAATGAAACAGGAGCCAAGGCGACTTGAAAATCTCAAACATACCAAGGATATTACGGCATCTCTAACTAGATAGTTTATTTCCGTGTAAACCTACAACATGCATAGAACAAAATATCAGATAAAAATGAAATGACGAACAATTTCCGGGGAAAAACCCGAATTAGTAAAAAAGCTTTTATCACCAACCAGATTATAGAATGCCAAATGGCTTGTTCTTTCAAGTGAAGGTAGCTTCTTCCTAACAATGAAGTATCTTTCGAGGTAATAAAAGAACCTTGAAAGCCATCGGACCATAGTCGTGTGATTATTCCATCTTCTCAACAATTCTCGTAACAAAGACTCGTCTTTCTTTCCCCTTAGAGATGGCAACACCTTGAAATGACGATAGTAGAGATATAACTAACACATTCAGTGCATGATTGGTATGCAGCACTCGACTGGACAATACAATGAACAAGATATTAATATTTTCCGACAACAAGCATGATTGGTATGCAGCACTCGACTGGATAATACGATGAACAAGCTATTAATATTTTCGAACAACAAGCATGTAGAATATCTTCAAAGTTTACTAGCCTTGGAAGAGATGTAGTCTTCAAAAGTCTTTTTATAATGATCATACATTTTCCGAGCTTTTGGACCGACCTGATCGGGGGCACATACATTGTACACTATTCTGGCGAATGGAGTTAAGAATATGCAACGCGATAAATGGATTTCAACTACAAATGCTAAAATCAGTTAAGAGTTAAGACCACTACAATGTGACATAAAAAACATGAGAGAGTAATTACTATCAGTAAAAACTGAAAAATAATGAACAGAAAATTAAGCCCTTGTTAGACCCCCCATTTTCTAAAACTTTTTTTCCTTAAATTCATTTTCAACCACGTGTTTCATAGACCCACTAATTTTATTAACTTCTCAACCACATATTTCATTCATCAACTTCTATCATAATCTACTTAAAAATTTGATTTTTTGCTAAACCAAACAGGGGATAAATGACCCTTGATTTTACATCTTTCATAGGCAGAAAAACGGCACAAGTATTTGTTAAAGTAACATCCAACATTCAAAATGCATCCAGCCCACAAGTAGCAGTTGTGAGAATAAGTAACTTAAAAGTTAGTTTCATTTCACAAAAAGTGACTTTTAAGCAAAACCATTTTGACATTTTCTAAGCCAAAACAAGCATACGACGGTTACAAAGCAAAGTTGGTAATAACAAGACAAAAGAAAAAGAACGGATTATACTTTGCTAATTGCTACACAGTGACAGATTTTACGAGCCTGTTTGGTTCAGTCCACCAGCATTAAATTAAATAAATATAAGTGAATCCAGCTCCAGGAGAACCAAAAAAAATTATTGGGGTGGGGGAATTTTTGCTAAAATCCAAGGAAAATTAAAAAGATACGTGTAGAACCGCATATACTCTTCAGAACTCAACTCGTGTTTCTGAACTCCTTCCAGATTGTCAATTAGCTTGTTAATGGCTTCTTCCTGCAAAAGGGTCCATGCTTCTTCAAAGCTTAAATCGCGTTTCAAAGATGCGGCCCTTGCCATTATTTGCTGCTTCAAGGCTCCTGTGATAATGACTAACAGGCTGATAAGGTAAGATAATTGTTGAGCTCCTTCCCAGAATTTCTATGGAAGTTTCTATTTTGAATATATTAATTTCAGTAAAGGTAGCTGAAGTTTGTTAAGAGTTTCAAAATGATCATTAAAGTCTTTTTCTTATAATAGTGATTACTCAAATTTCTAATACTTACGTTAATGGCCACTTGACTGAAAATGTAATAAAAAATATTTCTTGACACCATAAATACCAACGTCTACACAAATGGTGTTAGCGAGAATGTCATGTCAGATATGGAGCCTGTTTGGAAGTATTTTTGAGAATTGATTTTTTAACAGTTAGGAGAAAAGTGTGGTTCACCTATGAGAGAAGAAGTCAAACATGACAGCTGAAATAATGAAATAACGGTCAAAAAATTAATTTTTTTGGATGAAAAAAACACTCTCAAACAGGCTCATGATATTTTTTGTATTCATAGAAATTAATCGAAAAAGCATCTTTACATTTAAAGCTATAGCATTTGTGTAATATGTTTTCACACATGAACTATCTAAACTTGGTTCCTCACCTCCTCAATTCATTAATAACATCGATAGTAACCGTTCGAAATTTGATAATACTACTGTAAACATATACTACAATTATAATTTCGAAATTTTTAACAAAGTTCAGTGACCGATGCTGAAATTAATCCAAATATATATTAAAATGGCATCTTTACAGGCTGGTTCTTGCTTCATTTTTCAATTTGTCCACCTGTCCGAGCTAACGATTCTGTTGGCTTGGAAAGCCAAAACTTGGGGTCTTTTTATAATAAAATAAATAGTGTCTATTTGATTTGAATAAAAATTAAATTTTTAATAAATTTTGATAAAAGTTGATGAAATATGATTGAAAATTATGAATCTTATACTTAAAATTAATTATTAACTTTGACTTAAATTTTTCTTAACACTCTTAATTTTGAAAATAAATTAAAACCATCTATATCAAAAAAGTCCATCATATTTTAGAACGTTTTTAATATTCAACGATACCTTTTTAAAACATTTTCTTAAAAAAAAATGAATACGCAGGTTCATGAATACCACTGTCTAATAAATAAACAATATGAAGAAAAAAATAATTAAAAAAAAATGAATACGCAGGTTCATGAATACCACTGTCTAATAAATAAACAGTTGGCCTTACTGTTGATATAATGTACTCTTCAAAGGACTCACGATACTTGTCATACAACTGCTGAGAGTAATCATGGGGAGGCTTTTGTGTGCACATGTTATAAATTGTCCTGTACATAAGATTTAAGGAAAGTGAGAACAAACGGTAGGGTCACGAGTGCCTACTAATTAAGAGGTAAATTTGAAGACTTGGAATACAAAAAGCATACGTGTAGAGCATCATATAGTCCTCTGAGCTGAACTGCGGCTCAGGCAGCCCTTCTAAAATATTTTTCAGCTTCGTAATCCCTTTTTGCATAAAGTCCCATCCCTGTTCTAAATCGATTGTATTCCGCTGATTCATCGTCATTTTCTATACCAGACCAATAAGAAAAAGCCTTCCAATGACGCATAAAGTAGTGTATTAAATCAACAGAAAACATCTGAAGCTGAAATAACTATGGCCAAACAAAAAATCAACCAAGAAATAACACCACCCTGAAAAAACACGTAAGAACCAAGAGCATCAATCAACAATACCCAGCAGTTATTATCCAGTACTATTTTAAGCAAAAGCTCCTTCTACACATTGTCAAGTTTTTGAATTCCTATTATACCCTTGACTTAGTGTTCCATAATCTCTTCTTCAATTACCTATTTTAATTATCCCATCAAAACAAAACCACCTTTTCTTCTCTTTTAAATATACACTGGACTGGCTATATCCATATTTATGAGCTTAACAATATTTATCATAACATATTATTACTAGTACTATTAAAAAAACTGTGTTTGAGTTGCTAGTACATTATGATCGCATTCCCTATCAAACTAAGCCAATGTAAACCATCAGGCTACCCATAACAACAAGATTCAAATCAGAAATAATATCAAAGGATTAACTCAGAAATCAACTAAGGCAAACATGCAAAAGAAAGCAATCTCTCCAATTTCACCAAAAGTTAACATTAAACTATGGAAAAATCAAGTCAAAAAATCGCTAAAAGACCTTCAATACAGATAACTGTATTACTGGACCCAATTAAACATACAAAACAAAAGCTTATGCTCAATATTAAAATCTCGTTAGTTGATATTCAATTTAAGATCTTAGGGAGTAGAGTCTACAATTAGGACACCAATCAAATATTGAAAACTAAAATCATCAGTAGCTCCATATTTTATCCAGGAAATCCAGAAAATAGATAAGGAAATTTGACCTATCAAGCAATCATCTTATTCCTTACTTAATGAACTAGTGATTCAAAATTTCCTCCCCAAGAAACATGAGACAGATTTCTGAAAGTTCAAGAACATTCAATTCTAATATGCTAATGGATATATACACACACATAGAAAAATGTGCATTATTAAATTAATCAAGTATTATTTATCATGACATCAAATATAATATAACAAAAAAATCATCTACATAAACTCTTACAACTAAAGAAATCCAACAGAAACTATTGCAAACTAAAACCCTAATTATCAGTAGAATCGCAACTAAACGAAGCCTATACCTAAATTTAACCCCATTTCTCATTCCTTAACATGCAATCACGAATCATTTGGCTTAAAATTAATTCAATACACCTCTAATATCCAGGATTAAATGCCATAAAAAATCACAAAGGAAGTAAAATCAATCGCAAATAAAAGAAATTATAAAGAACTCATCGAGACGCATATTGACACCTACCAACACGCATGTCGTATATATACTTATATGTATATATGTAGAGAGAGAAAATACCTGAAGAGGAGAGAGATGGCTCGGGTGAGATGTGAATTTCTCCTTTTTCCTTTTCTCTTGATCGATTTTACACAGCTTTAAATTTATAATGTTTGTTACCTCAAACTTTCATAATTAATGTTTGTTACCCACATAGTTTGTTGTTTATTCTTTTGACAACTCAAGGACTTTTTTATATTTGCCAAAGTGACCCAATATTTTATAATATTTAAGTTTTAGTATATAGGGTTTATAGATGGAAAATTTAATGCAGTTTGAACAAGTTGGGGTTTAAATAGGGACAAGAATGTAATGTGATTTTGATGTTTTGTCTTTTGTATACACCAACAAAAATTTATAAAAACACAAATTTATGAAGTATTTGATTATCACATGTTAAAGTGATTTTTAGTGCTTGTTTGAATAAAATTATAAGCTGTTGAAAAATTATAATGTGAGTGAAATTAATGATAAATAAGTTGATAATAGTCGTGCATCTAATGAAATATGGTGTTAAAAATTATGTTTGACTTTGATCACTAAATTATGCCCCAGTTTGATCTCCATTCTTTTGAAATAAATTATTCTTAAACAGTGTTTTGATGTTATTTCAACCACACATTCTTTAATAAAATAATATTACACGCAAGTTCAAATTTTTTCTTATTTTTTAACCATACATATCTATCAATACATTATTCAAAAATGCATTCTTATAAATAAAAAAAACAAAAAAAGGGGCTCAAACAAGGGCTATAAGTGATTTATAATGTTACCCAAATATGCACTTGGACATTGTTTTATTCTCAAGGACAATTTTAAATAACATAATAATATATTTACACACAATTGAAATAAATAGTTATCATTATAAGATAACTTTAAAAGTTCATAATAATATTAAAAATAAATTAGATCACATTGTTGCAATGCGATAACCATGATTCGAGAATCTGCAAATCACGATTAAGATGAGCTAACAATATCAAGTCAATATGAACTTTCTTAAGCATTCTAACTAGAGCTCAAATATATAATATAAATATAAAATAATGAGGAAACCTTGATAAGAGAAAATAGGGTTAATTGTGGCGACAACCACCAAACTTTCGTTGTAGTTACAATTGCATCATTGAACTTTAATTATTAGCAATCTAGTCACTTAACTTCAATTAACAACAATTAAACCATTTTGTTTGTATATATTTGTTACATGTTTCTTAAAGTTTCTCTATCTTCCACTCAAATTAACTACCTCTTAAAAATTTCTATATACCTACTTGTCATTCCATAACCTCACTTACCCAACTAATAAGAAAAATTCCCTCAATTCTCTTATTTATCTCACATTACTTCATGATTTCTTTCATTTTAACATTTCATAACCTGTGTTCCCATATTTTATCATTCATTTTCTTTCCATATTTTTGGTATTTCAAAACGAGACAAAATTGTCCAGCAACATTTATCGTACATATTTTATCTCATCATTTTTCCTTTGGTTGAAACGCATTTGAAGGTTATAAGGTAGGTAACAATGTACAAGTAATTTTTTCCCGTTTAATTTTTATTATTTCATATCGATAAGTATTTTACTAATAAAATGATACGATATAATATATGTGGCCATCCAATCCAAATGATATGATATGAGTTCTTATCGGTTCTAAAAATATGGTATGACGGTACGATTTATTTTGATATATGAACTCTAAATGTTATTCGGATTGTACAAATATTCGTATCCTATTGAGTATTCACTGTACTCACCCCTTTTCTCTTATCTCACAAGTTAGCATGGATTGCGTCAGAGCGCGACGGTTCGATGGTGTGGTCGTGCCTTGTTTCATAAAACTAAAATTTAAAATTTAAGCAAGTAACTTTATTTCTTTTAATTTGTTTGCAACATGCATTTATGTTTAATTAAATTGTCCGGCATGTTCAGTAAATTGTTGCTTTCTATTTTGATACAATATAATTAGTTTTTCTATTCCTTTAAATTTTAAGTTTTACATTGTGATTTTCAACTATAATTATATTATTTGGTGTAAATTCCATTTTCTTACTTTTCTGTCAATTTAAAGATTTGAATTCATAAATTGAGAGTGGCTGCCGTTCACGTTTCACCATTATAAATCTATGCCATGGACACTA